ATTCTTCTCTGCTTGCTTAAGACAGAAAAGGAACATTGCTTTACAGATAAGGAGGAATGTTGACAGAGTGATTGTGAACGCACAGTAATGTACACTGATCTACTACTATACTATCTGAAACATGCTGCCACACCCATCTTGTCACTCTTTCTGTCACTTTACACCTCACATCATGATCTCATTCAAAGTATGTCAAGCATACCATGGCACTGAACTCCGTGAAGTGACTCTTCATTGTTTTCTTTCTTAGGCAGGATGTCATGAACGCTTGCTCTCAAATTGAACACAGCCCTGAAATGATGCACACTTGGATTAAAAGCAGAGTGTAGTGTAGACATACTGATTAAGTGCCAGACATCTATAACATGTGACACACATTTTTTTTATAAAATACTGTATAAATACTGTGCAGAAGTATATATGCACTGACGTCTCACTAAAGCAGCAATAGCATATAGATGCGCGCTTCTCTGCACGTTACCAAACTTCACCACTAGGGGGAGTAGCATCGTTTGGAAAGGTATTTCAGGTAGCCTATCTAAATTTTGCGCCATCATTTAGAATATAAACAAAATAGAAGATAAAATGTGTGTTTGAAGATAAACAAGATACATTTAAGACACAACTATTGGTGATAATTATTAATCATATTCTGAGATAAATTCGGACGACCAGGCTAATCAGAATTTTGACGTGAACGAATTGGCTCAAATACAACAAATACAATCTCTTTTACATTGTAAATATAAGTGCAACAAATGTTTATCTCTTACGTTTTTTTTAACCGTGGTAACCCTAGTTAATAAAATGGTGTTAACTTACTATTAGTCACACACAGGCAGATTCAACACCCTCCGTGTAGTGTAAAGTTGCTTGTTAAAAAAATGCAAGAAAGGACAGACCAATCAGAATTCAGTATGCAAATAGATGTGAGAAAGAACATAGAGCAGCATTCTGTATGCAAATATTATGTTGATTTGGAATGTTAAACATTCTGGTCCACAAAACCAGTCATAAGGGTCAATTTTTTGAAATTGATATGTATACATCATCTGAAAGTTGAATAAATAAGCTTCCCATTGATGTATGGTTTGTTAGGATAGGACAATATTTGGCCGAGATACAACTATTTGAAAATCTGGAATCTGAGGGTGCAAAAAAAAAATTAAAGAGAAAATCACCTTTAAAGTTGTCCAAATTAAGTTTTTAGCAATGCATATTACTAATAAAAATTTAGTTTTGATATATATTTATGGTAGTAAATTGACAAAATATCTTCATGGAACATGATCTTAACTTAATATCCTAATGATTTTTGACTTAAAAGAAAAATCGATAATTTTGAGCCATACAATGTATTGTTGGCTATTGCTTCAAATATACCCCAGCGACTTAAGACTGGTTTTGTGCTCCAGGGTCACATATTATTAATCACATTTACAAAGGTCACCAAGTTTACCAAACTGAAATGTTCTCAAAAAGTTAAATAATTGAGTATTAGAAGTTTGTCTATACATTATTGCCATTATCCATGCTTCTTTACACTACACTATGAGTCCTGTCCTTTATTAACTTATGATTTTACATGAACTACAATAGGCCTCACTATAGTATTTTTCGACAAAGTGTGATTATCATGGTAAATGTGTGATTAAAGTAATTATAAACAGTGACAGTTTATGCACTAAAAGAACAAATGTAGACAGGTTTTGATTTAGCTTACAGTATGAGGCTACAGGGACAGATAGGCTATTGGTGATACAAACAAATGGCTATGTGAGGAAATTGGAAACTCCCCTGGTATTTTGGCTGCAGTGCAGCAGATCTCTTAGGACAGGTCAAAAAATGCACTATTAATCTCAGTTACCTGAAGCTGAATGGTCATATGGCTTCACCTCGGTCTGACTGCACACTTATACAAACTTATACACACGCTATACAAACTACAATTGTCTCTATATATTTATCCATGCCTCAAATTTTAGTTACCTATCTCAGCAACAAGCCTATATATGATGCTCTAAAATGCTCTCTAGGTAGACAGCTCATGGTTTTTGAGAGGCAATCAGTGAATCTGATACTCACACATCTCAGTATATACAGAGGTTGACATTACCTGGTACCTAGGAAAAGTCAAAGTAATGTGACCAGAGGGCTGTCGACAAGATGTAGATTTTGTCTAACAGACGGCCAGGTCAGCATGAAAACCACGTGTCTTACAGATTAGATACGGGCATAGTTGAGTCTCTCTCTCGCCTGGCAGTTGCTGTATCATTGATTTAATGCTGAATGAACGCTGACTCTTGAGCGAAGCTGCGAACCACGAGCATGACATGAAATCGCGGTGATGTGTCTGGTGCTAATATTTGGAGGCAGCATTTAATTCCGTTTCCAGAGCAGACTATTTTTAACCTTAACGTTTCTGCTGGATGCGATGTCCTATCTGAACCCCCGGGGAAGAGAGCTCGAGCGTTTTGATGGACTATCGCTTATTTACTGGTAAGAATTGAATATGCTTGTAGAGTTGTGCATGCCGTCTATTTATTTTTCTTTGTCATTTCAGGCATTAAATGGACTGTAAACTGTAATATTCATATAAAGTCTCAAACTGTATATGTAACAAGATCAGCGTTATTAAAGAAAAGCATGGAGTAGGCTACATACAGTAGGTTCGCATAACGTTCTTAGCGACGAGGTCCCGCTGTTCCAAAGAGAACAGGTATCTGTGAGCTTTTTCACATTGTCAGATTTTTTTGTGGCATTGGCAACTTTTGATAAATGAAAGAAAGAGTCGCTTCAAAAACGGAGACCTCAAGTTCGCACGCAACAAAAGCCTGTTGTTATTCAACCAAAAAGTACAACTGACCAAAAAAAAAAAAAAAAAAAACCTTTGTCATGTTGCGTTTATAAAT